CATCCCAACCCTGCTACTAATTGCTCTGTGAACTCTTCTCTTGGGAGCAAGCTCACAAGTCACACCAGGGTCTGCGTACCCAGACTGGGCGTGGACCTGCTCGGCCATGGGGTCCTGAGCACCCCTCCAGGGCTGTGGTTGGCCTCACACGCCCCACAGCTTGAAGAGAAGCAGTGGCTGGGTCACATCAGCTGTAGATGTCACTGCTTTAAAAGTTCCTCAAAAGAGAAAGCTCACAAAACTACACCTACTGGGCAGGAAGATCTAAAAGGAAATGATAAACCCAGGCGGCAGGGCAGCAGTGAGCCTCTAAGGAATGCTGGCTGCTGTCATGCGGAATTCTTCCCAGCACACTATAAAAGCCAGGCTCCAAAGGTGGGCAGGTGTGGGTGGAGGCTCTCACGCTGAGCAAGTTTCCTGACTTCTTTAAGCTCCAGTGTCTCCCCGTGAAAGCAGACAACAACCGCTCTCTTGGTTCCGCACAATGACTCAGAGGATGAAGCGCAGAGGTCGCCTGTGTGGGGTGTCCGCTCTCAAAGGCTACCTGCTGCCAGGGAAGGAGTAGGCATGAGGAGGAGGAGGAGGAGGAGCCGTGTCACCGCCGCTCTGCCCACGGACTCTGAGGGGACCGCTAGGCCCCGCTCCAGTGGCTCCTGCTTTCCACCTGGCATTGCGAGACAGGCATGAGGAGGAGGAGGAGGAGGAGCCGTGTCACCGCCGCTCTGCCCGCGGACTCTGAGGGGACCGCTAGGCCCCGCTCCAGTGGCTCCTGCTTTCCACCTGGCATTGCGAGATGGCGAACGGTGTCTACACCAGGGCTGCAGCACCCGGGCCGTGGGGGCGCTGAGGCCGGGTGCAGCCTGATGTGGGGGCTCATCTGGGGCACTGTGGGATACCCGGCTCCACAAGTCGCACGCTGTTAGCACCCTTGAGTTCTGACAGCCAGAACTGTTCCCAGAAACCGCCAGGCACACCCTGCGGGACACGAGCACCCCAGCCAAGAGCCACCAGGGAGGTCCGGGCTCAGGACAGGCTGAGCACCCCACATGAGCAGAGACCCCGAGGGGCAAAGGCCCAGGTCTCACCTCCTATGAGTGCACGGCAGGGAAGTGCAGAGCACACTCCTGTCAGGAGGCCTTGGTGCCGTGGAAACTGCGTGGGAGCCTGGGCGAGCACAGGGAAGCCATGAGGCCCCGCTGTACAGAGCACCTGGGACCTGCCCTGTCCCACAGAGAAAGGACTGGGTGCACATGCCACGTCCTGGCTCAGCTCTGACCCCGGCTTCGGCCAGAATCAGGGGCTCTTGGCTTCTCCACGTGGCTGAGGCTGGCTAACAAGCATGGACCAGACAGTTGTGATGCTTGGCTGAGGGCGTCTACTCATTGCCCAGCCTCGGACCCTGGAAACCACCATGTGGGGCTGCCAGGACCACAGGTAAGGGTTCTGCCACCTTTCGGAGTGAAAGGAGAGCTGACTGCACCTTTCTCACAGATGTCTTGGTGCCACTTGGCTTGTCTTCCCATCCTCGCCTCTGTGGCCCTGGGGCTACCTAGCCCTGCACTAGGAACACGATGCAGATGACCACTTCTAAAACTTGTCTCATTATCAAACCTCAAGCGGGCTTTCAGGCATTTTTCCTAACCATCTCCCTTCGTCACCAGCTTTCCATCTGCAGGTGGACTGAGTGTCTCTCTAGGTACCACACATCCCTTCTGAGGATCACAGGCACTTGTCCATCAAAGACTTCATGCTCCCCGAGCAGCAGCATCACTACCTGGGCAACACCTTCCTCGCTGTGGATCGTGGATGAGTGGGTTTAGTCTGTAGAGTGCACTGGGTGCCTGGGAAGCCACTTCAACTTAGCAAGGCTGGTGAAAGACATTGAGGAGACCCAGGACCCCGGAGGGAACCCAGAGAGCAGGTGGCTCAAGACGGCATGGACCCCATAACCCTGGGGAGGCCTGGGCTCCCGAGGAGGAACCTGTTACTGTTCCAGGATGCCCGGGCCCTGGACGGCTAGCATTCCTCAGTGCCCCCAAGCCCAGCAGGGTCTCAGCCATAGCTGGCTTCACGTCCAAGCTGCAGTTCCATCAAGCAGGCGTCAAAGAGGCGTTCAGGGCAAGTGTCCAAAGGTGTATTGGTGTCAGTTATGGAAGCAGAACCGTGGGGCATGGACGTTGTGCCCCAGTGTGTTAGCTTCGGATGTGAAGTGGAGCCACTAGGATCAGTGGCTGTGCAGGGCTAAGGTGACAGGAAGGTGTGAAGCCTAAACAGAGCAGGCGGAGGGGCTGTGCGCCCGGGGTGCGGGCAGTGAGTGAGCCCAGGGAAAGCACGTGGCTCTAGCTGCAAGGAGCCAAGCCTGGTGGGTCAGGTCTTAAGATTTTCTGTATTTTATGTGAAATCTAATTTCTAAAAATGGGCTTCAAATTTGTTAAACTTTAGGAGCCGAAAAGAAATACATCTGCGGGCAACACAAGGCTGCATTTGCAAACTCCATTTGCAAAAGGTCCACAAGAAAAACACTGTCTTGTGAGAGGACAGTGGCCGGGATCCACAGGACCCTCCACATGCCAGAAGGCTCCTGGAAGGAGGAGCGTGAGGACCCTGCTTGGTGAGGCGCATGCACGAAGACTGCTGGAAATGGGGAGCAGCGAGTCCCGGTTACCTGAGGAGGCCCAGACAGTGCCCTTCTACCCCCAGGCCGGGAAGGCGTGGCTACATTCCGTGATGCCACACACAAGCAGCTCTTAACCGCCACCAACCTTACCCTTCTTACCCATTTTCTACCTAACTAGACAAAACAACATCACCAAACAAATATTCCCTACTGGACACTTAGAAATCCCTACAACAGAGGAACCAAAACATCTACGGTGCCAGGCGATACAAAGACACAAGTGGATTCCAGTGCTGTGCCTGGGAACCCTAGAGAGGCTGCTCGGGGCTTGGTGGTTTCAACTCTGTCCTCTAGAGTCCCAGAGCCTCTGCCAGCTGTGTGCTCCAGGCTTACAGGTGCTGCTGGCTGCTTCCGGGTATTTTCTTCATCCTTCGTATTATGACTGTAATAAATAATTAGTAATCCATGGCTCCATTTTGCTGACAAACATAAATTCAGCACAGAGCAGTGTCACCCAGAGATAGGCACAAGGTAAAGAAAAGCGGGGTGAAGAGCTGGGGAGAGATGGGATGAAGGTCAGGAGTGCAGTGTGGAGGAAATGGCCTGGTCTGTAAGCTCCTCAGCCACAGTCTGAGTGACAGGAACACACCATCACAAAATCTGTGGGTTTCTCTTGTGAATCTTTCATTAAGTGCCAAAAACTGAAGGGAAAAAAACGCTGATTCGTGCCTAGCTGTTAGATATTGTCAGCACACTCTACTTCTGATGATACTGACAGAAAAGATAATAAAACTCACAAATCAATGGGCTGTCTGTGTCCGGGATTTACTTCACTCAAGCTGCAGGGCTGCAGGGCCAGATACAAGGCTGAACATCCTTTCAGCTACCTGGGGCCCACACAGCCGACTCATTCAGGACCGAGAACCAAGATGACGGGTGGGCAGGGGAGCTGGCGCCTGAAGGTCGGGGTCCTCAGTCATAACAGAGAACAGGTTTTTCTGTCTTTACCTCAAATTTCTCTGAGTTTCCAAGGCCTTGTTGCTATAGAATTGAAATGGGTCTGTTACTGAAGTCTCGAATAGATTTTTCACTCCTGGAGCAGATTAGGACGGAGCCGGAAGCAGCCCTAGCAAAGCCAGAGGTGACCTGGGGCATCATGGCCCTGTGTGGCTTCAAGACAAAAATCCGAACCACTTTACAACAGCACGGAACGAATGAGAGATAACAGTAAGTCTCCGGGATGGCGGGATTCGCAGCTTGCATGATCTTGTTGGGGTCATTTGTTCTGTGAATCTGACACCCTAGACTGCTGTAACTTCTGAAACGACACTGACATTAATGGGAGCCTCCCTTGAATTTTTCAAATAAACTTAATTTCTAAAATAAATTTTTAGTAACCCTATATCAGGTCTCTCTTTAGCTTTAAGAAGTCAGACTCAAAGTCAGACTCGAAGTCTGCAGGGCTCCGGTGTTGGAGGACACTAGAGCATGACGGGCCAGGAATTAGGAAGAGCAGCTCTGCCCCTTCCGGCTCCTCCCTGGGCAGGGGAGGCAGGCACAGGAGAGGAGCCCCTGTGGGTGCATGGCACCCGCCACTGATGCTCACCTGTTGCCGCCAGCAGAGCCCTGATTCGTCTCCTCTTCCACTCTTCACACACACACACACACACACACACACACACACACACACACACAGAGTATGCACACATGCATGCACATGCACTCCTACTTCCACTCCCACCCTCTGCATGGAGGCTCAGATAGAGGTCTACCAAATCCTCTTGGTGGCATCTGGGAACCAGGGCCAACCACCTCCTGGATGAGCCCTGGAAGCCCCACTGTGGGAAGCCAAGTTAATGGTCCTTCCTGAAAGCCACTCACTTTAGATCCCAGACAGGACTGCATGGCTGGTAAACTAGCACTTTCAGAAAGAAAAACTGCCTCAGTGACAGCAAAAACTGAGCCAAAAAAATCCATGCTACCCAAGCAAAGGCAGATTTTCTACAGGAGGAAACCAAAGACCTCATCAACTCTTAAAATTCTGAGAATCTCACTATTTCTTCCAAAGGTTTGGCTGAGTTAAAGGTACAACTTAGGTCTGGTAGCTATTGCACTCCTCACCCTAATCAAATGCTCCTTGAAGAATCTCAGATCAAAACAACTTCCACTGTCTTTAGAGAACAAACCGACGGGAGATTTAATCCTCCCTGAGCGCCATCTTCACAACCTCGTGACCACTGCTCAGGAAAGCAGCCGTCTCTGGCATGCGACAGCCTCGCTGCTGTCCTCTGTGCACAAGCGCACACAACACGCCCACCACTGCCCGCCGTGATGACAGGGTCCCCGCCTGGGCACAAGGCACAGCCGCCTGTGGGGTGCTGACCTGCACGGGCTCCGGCGGGAGCTGGACCACGTGCTGCATGCGCTCGCTGTGGTGGTGTCGCGACTCCTCCTCGTAGATCACATCCCTCTCGTGCTGCGGGAGGTTCAGGAAGCGGCGGATGGTGCAGAGGTTCTCCCACAGCGTGCGGTTCTCCGGGCTCGGGTTCTCCTTCCAGCGGAGCAGCTCGCAGAGCCAGCCCTGGAGAGAGGGGCACTAGTTAGCCTCGGAGGGCACGGCAGCCCTGGCCTGGGCTCAGCAGGTTACGCCAAAGCCCTGGAGTCCTGTCTGGTTCGCTCTCTTATTGCCCTTCCCAACAGTGCATTCTCAATGAGTGTCCTAGAAAGAATTTTCTAGGTTCTGGAGCGAGATTATGGTTTCCTGATCACCAGAAGTGATTTGTTGTGGTCAGCGACCATTCTTAGAGATCACCCAACTGGCTGGAATCCCATTCTAGGATGAGTGACGATGAGCTAGAGCATATTATGTGACGTCAGATTCTAAAGGAGTCTACGTGCAAACAGCGCTGGCTTTCTCTGGGGAGGAAACACTCTTGCAGTCAAGAACGACTGCATGACAGAAGCAGCAGCCCCAGCCATGGGATGTCAACAGTACCCTTGGTCCCTCTTCGAGCGCCCTGGGCTCATGGCCCCGCTGGCCACCCCGGCTGCCGCAACCACACCTGCAGGAAGGCAGTGTGGGCAGCACACACCTGCACAGGCCCGCCTCCCAACTCTGACATCCGGATGTTCCTACTCCTGCAACTGCAGGAGAAAGAAAACGCAATGCAAATCACGATGGATGATATGAAAATAATACAGAGGGTGCTGTCAACATCGCTCCCTGACTCATGTCAAAATATTGTACCCAGTAGCTTTCTAACCCATCATTTCCCAGCTACATCGCTAATTTTAAAAACAAGGACTGTCCCACATCGCACGTCTTTGCAAAGAAGTAAAAATTTCTCTAAAAGGTGCCTAAATAAACACAACTGACTTGCTGAAAAATAAACCCCAAATCTCAACCAGTCCTGTATCATTGCTGGTGAGCCAACGCGAGTCCCTGACACGCATCATAAAAGCCCCATATAATATCCTAAGCCGTTGTTTGTCTAACTCTCCACTGTGTCTTCTGCCTTTACCCAAAAAGAGGCAAGATTTGATTATCTCCGCTGCATCGGCCAAGACAGCAACACCAGCTGTTCTCATTGTGCAGCCTCCTCCTCACGGCCTCCATGTTAATAACCTGATCATTCCATTTTCCCCTTCAACTGCCGGCTGCAGCACCGCACGGAGACAAAAACCCAGGCCCATCTGCAGCAGCTGTAGGCACTGAACTGTGAAGCCACCGGGGATTTATAAACTAATCTGTAACACAACACTGCCTTGTTTTTACAAGTGAGAGGCCACATTTGCGCAGACCTGATCTTTTCTTGCAATAAACTGGGAGCTTGGGAGAGTTGGAGGGTGAGGAGGATGAAAATAAGATACCTTATCATTTGCTGTGAGATGCTTTTTCCTCGTGTTTTCCATAGATTTTATTGGACTCAATTAAGAGAAAGGTAATGGTTAAATTTGAAGGTGCCATGTGTATGAGAAATGAAGATAAATTTTTTTAGCCCTACCAGAAAATAAATTATATTTGAAAAATCTCCTGGTCCCAAAGTGTTTCCTCAAGGGTTTTTTCATACAAAGGAAAGAATTCTTGAAATGGAAAATAAACCATCTGTGGAAAAATAAGCTCCTCTTTCTCTGTCTTTTCACAGATCTGAGTAGGTCTCAAACTGAACTCCTTCGGTGTTTCAGACAGGTATGTTTAAACATCTCCCGGGGGCGGGAGCATGGAGACCCATCGCAGAGCGGAGAATAAGAACAAAACGCTGCATCTGCTGCAGATGCAGCCTGGAACTAGCCAGACCTGTAGGAAGCTGGACAGGGGCGGGACAGGGGCAGGACAGTGGCCCCCGGACGTCCGCGCCACACCCATGGCACGCACGTCCCAGCTCTCAGTTCTGCTGCTGTGCGCTCAGGTCACGCAGACAGCAGCCAGGCCCGCGTCCAGCAGCGCGCTCTGCAGCAGTCTTGGGGAAGCGTGGCACTCCATTTGCCCACTGACAAGCAAGGGCTTGACCTTGAAGCTATTAGGGAGCGGATTAGACACAAGCGTGGTCATGTGTGCAGACAGAAGCAAACCAAATTAATTTCTGGCACAGGGAAGTGGCCCGAGAGCCCCTGTGCTCAGGCACCAGAGAACTCCCTCAAGTCCCTGGTGGAGAGAGCTAATGGCATGTTTAAGGGACCCCGGTTTGGAGGGTGAAGCACATTCATGGTATTTAGAGGGTTATTAATCTAGTTTCCCCACAAAGTGTTTGCTCGGCTGATCAGATTAAGGGATGGAGCCTCATCGGCACCCCCACCACAGCAGGCCCCAAGAAATCTGTGATACTTCCCAGCCTTGGACATATTGCACCATGTGTACCCAGCTGCTTCAATAATTAGCTTATGAATGTATCAGCTGGCTCTGTGATTTTTATAAATAATAACCAGCCTGCAGAGCAGAAAGACTGTGGACAGCCCCGCAGCAGCACAACACTGGAAGGAGCTCCTGACTCCAACCTGCTCCCCTCATCAATGCTGCTGTCCCCACTAGAGGGGCCCCGTGCCCCCATCAGTAACACGCACTTGTACCTGGAACAGGAGTGTGCGCTACCATGATCACCCCACGCCCCTGTGGCTTCTCCCGGGACCCTGCCCTCCTACCCACCCTCTCACCCGGCGCCATCTTGGCCCTCACCCCATCCTTCCCAGGCCGCGGGGGACACTTCTCTGTCTGCCACTGGGTCTCTGGTTAGCTCTGGTGGCTAGTGGGTGTGAGGGATGTCGCACACGCACACGTGTGTGTGGCTGCGAGTGAACCCATGGCAGAAGAGATGCCGGGTCCCCTCGTTGGGATTCTTCCCATTTATAAAATTTTTGCATGCCATCCAAGAAAGTTTTGCAGTATCAGGCAAAAAAAAGTGTAAATGTCAAATAAAACAGTGACAGATGACAGTATTCTCTATTGAATAGCACTGTTTCTGTGGTGCATGTTCAATGGGAACTCATGAATTATTAATGACAAATCTCCTTTTTCTGTTAAAAATCTCAAGTAGGGTTTTTGTTGTTGTTCCCTCTGTGTTATGTGGAGCATCTCAGGAGAATCGTTTTCATTTCAGAAATGCTGATCCGGAAGTTCATCTGAGTCCCAGCCTGGGCCAGCGCTACAAGTGGACACCATGGGCTCTGGGCTCTGTGACTGCCAGTGCTGGCCAGGGATGGGCTGAATATCCCTTAGCAGTGTGGCCTTGATGGTCTGGGGAGAGAAGGTGGGAGCGACAAGCGCCAGAGCACAACCAGGAGGTAGTGAGACTGCCAACGGGGAGCCTGGGCCTGACAGCCAGGTCCCCTCTGTCTCTCGGGAACTTGTGGCCGTGGGGCGGGCAGCTCCCTGCCGGAGCGCCCGAGAAGAGGGGCTTAGAGAACGTGGTCCCCAATTCTCCCACTCCACTCTCCGAGATCTGCCCCTTGCCGGCCACCACCAGCAGCAGACAGTGAGCAGGCACCAGGATTGAAAGCGCTGAGCAGGATCCACGGTGACACAGACCGACGTGGCTTCACGGGACTCGTGGACGCCACAGACAGACGCTGTGATGACGACACTGCGAGGTGCACAAGGTCACGCTGGGGACCAGGGCCAACATGCAGAACGTCACAGAGTCAGCCTCGGGGTGCTGGACGCTATCTTCAACTTGCACTTTGGAGGTGCAAGGTCACAACAGGCAAAGAGCACCCTGCACACGGAGCGAGGTGAGGGGGAAGAACAGCCACATGCAGTTTGCTTCCTGGTACAGGAACGGAGCCAGTGGAGAAGCTGGAGGAATCCGACTGGGGCTTTAGGAACAGTACGGAAACTGTACTACTTTCCCGGTTTTGATAGCTGCACTTTATCAATAACTGCACGGTGATGACGTAAGGAGTCCACACTGGGGACCTGGAGAGGGACACAGGACAGCACCATCGCCCCTCCCACCCCTTCTCCCTTATCCTGCGAGTCTAATGCCAGTTTAGAATAAAAGGTTTTCAAAAGACAAAGACTCCCTGGAACATATACAGGAAAACGCACACAGAACCTAACTGTGGTGAAGCCGAGGAACTCACAATTAAAACTTCTCTTACCTTCAAATCTAAGCCCAGGAGGGAACCTGAGTTCAAAGACCACTCCTCTGTGATCAGTGGCTAAGGGCTCCTGACGCTTGCTGCATAAGCAAATAGCATTCATCACCGCCTCACCTCGGCCTCTCACAGGCCCCTTACGCAAATGCTTCTCCCTCGGTAGACAAAACAGCCCTGGCCACCTTCCCACCCCTGCAGGTGAGGCAACTCTGCCAGTCAAGGTATCATCCGTTTGCCATCCAGGTGCCCCCAAGACCTGTACAGCGATCTGGCTCTACATTTCCAAGGCAAATCATGTTCACATGTATTAGGACTCCAGCTATTCAAGGAAATGTGCCACTGGTTCTCTTTGGAGCCGAACAATAACCCTACAGCCTATCTCTGGGGCATCGGATGGTTTCATCCATGAGTCACGGGCTGCAGGCTCACAGCCAAGACCATCAAACAGGCACCAATCAAACCACCATTTGCTCTGTTTTCCCCTCCTGACCTCCTCCTCAACAAGGCCCCACTGGCCTTCATCTCCCTGAGGTGCGGGACAGTCCCGCCTCCTCAAGCCGCCACACTACTCCTGGGCTGGACCTCCAACCCCGGAAACACCGGGCTTCCCATTTGCTCCGTGAGGACTGGCAGCGCGTGCCCACTTCTGCAATGTGACCGTGGCACTGGCCCCGCCCATACATGCTTGCTCCCATGGCCCGCACTCCCAGGCAGACTGGTCCCTGCACGCGGAGGGTGCTCTGCTCTACAGATGCGTGTGGATGTAACGGAAATCACTCGGTACGCAGGAGTCAGCCTGGGTGCAGTCTGGTGGAGGGAGCACCAGTGCCAGACGCATGCTCTCCTTCCCTCCCTCTAACGGTGAGTATGGAAAGGAAAATGGGCCGGCACACTTCACCCCACAACAAGTTACAACCTGGCAGCCTCGGGACGCAAACTCTGGTCCACTGAGCGCTCCCTCCTGTGTGCCGCGTGCAGGCTAGTCTGTCA